TTCATTACCACACCAAGAAAAGCCACCAGATCCACATGGGCCACACCTGCAGCCGAAGTTTATTTAGTTTGATCAAGTTTTGGTTAATTATCTGCTGGTTTAGGTTGAAATCAGGGAGTGTTGAGTCTCTATTTGGTTTTTATTGACTGGAAATCAGAAACTGGGAGATTTTATTACACAGTGAAATATTTTGAGCGAATGTATCATCAGGTCAATACTAACTGTCACCAGTAGGGGGAGCATGTGGGTCCTGGCAGATGGCTCACTCACCAACAGAGCATTCTGGGATATGTAGTACTGAATGGTTTGTTTCCCAGTGATCCAGCTCTAGCTGACATGTTGAATGTTCTCATGGACCAAATGTGACCCACTGCCTGAGTCTGAAGCCTCTGCTGGAAGGATCCAGTTGGACCTGATTGGATTCTGTTCCGACTCGGTTTGATTCTCTGTCTGCAGAGTCTCAGAGCTGCTGCTGTTAGTGGACTGACTGCAGCTCATTAGTACGAATCATTGTTCCTCTTTGTGAAGGAAATGACAACAAGCTGTACTGAAAGTAATAGAAATAAAAAAGAAACATTGTTTTATTTTCTTTATAATCAGATCCTACAGCTAAACCATGACTCACTTTAGTTCTTAGTGTTACAAAGTGAATCAGTTCAAAATTGATTAAATGTTCATTTCTATCTAAAGTTTGTAAAACTACTTCCTTCTATCTGTGGTTTTTCTGTCAGTTTCTAAAGAACATAAATGTGACGACAGCAGAGTTACAGAATACATGCTGGGTGTTGGTGTGAAGCTGTTTTTATCCTTTATTTCAGCCACAAACAGGAAACATCATCAGTGTTTTCAGATCAGCAGCAGAGAAAAGTCTCTCAGTTCAGCAGCTGATAGACGGACAGGAGATGTTGGTTCTGGTTCTGGTTCTGGTCGTTCTTCAGTTTGAAGGTAAAAAATCTGTTTTCTTTCACATGAAGATGAGAAAAATTAAAGCAAACTTTGGTTCACTGTCATTTTCATGGAGACATTAATGTAAAGTATCTGCAAAGTAAACATGTCCTGCATGAGTGAAAAATAAATGCTGACAGAATTAACTTTTTTGTCCTCAAGACTGAACAATGTAAAAGTAATTCAACACCATGAAAAGAGACGACTAACACATTTATAATTTTACCTTCATGACTGTTTGTGAAGAATGAAATGTGTAAAACTTTAATGTGTCTTTGTTTCTGCTGCAGGAACCAGAGGAGGAGAACCTCATCTCTATCACAGAGAAGGAGAAAATGTTGTTCTACCTTGTAACAGTCCTTCATCGTCTTACCCATGCTCCATTGTTAACTGGCTTTACAGCAGAGATACAAGCACAACTCACACAGAGGTTAAAAATGGAAAAGTTGTTCAGAGTTCACCTCGAGCTTCCAGGTTAAATATGGACAGCAGCTGCTCTCTGACCATCAACAACATCACTGCTGATGATGCTGGACGCTACATCTGTAGACCTGGATCAGTATCTGATGCCTCAGTAGATGGTGATGTGTATCTGAATGTTTTATCCAGTGAGTATTTAGACCTGAATGATTTAACTCTCAGTCTCTTTCCTTCTGATCTACTTGGTGAAATGTTGGACAGATGTTTCTGACATCATCAGTTCTGATTTCCTTTTTCTCTGAACCTTGAACTTCTTTGGACTTTAACATGAGGGAACCTCTCAGTGACCAGATGCAGTCAGAAGGTCACATGTTGTTCAGTCAGAGAGAAACGATCATTTATTTAGATTCAGGCAAACATTACCCATCAGTCCACGGAGAAGGAGGAAATGAAGCTTGCAGTGAAGTTTTAAAATTTATTTTTCTCCTCCAACCTCTGCTGTGTTTCTGCTACTTCCTGTCTGATCTGGGGGCGGGGCCAAGCTGTGATGTCATCAGGAAGTTGCTCATCAGAGTGAACGTTGTGCTGAGGATGTTTAGATTTAATGAGTTTATCTTGTTTTGTTCAATATTTGATCACATCGCTGAATAATCAACTTTCTAGATAACTTGTTTTCTTCCTGATGAAAACCTGTAATAATGTAGATCAATAATCAAGTAAAATGGAGAAAACATTTTAAAAAAATTATTTATTTCATATACATTCTGCAGCCTAAGACTTTATATCAGAGTTCTCACCTTTGAGAACCTTAATAAAGTTCTCAAACTTTAAGGTTGTAAATTGAGAAAACTGTTTTATTTTCTCCTTTAGTTTCAGATTCTGATCCAACAAAGGAAGATTTTACATTACAATGTTCTCTGTGGAAATACGGAGGATTGGATTCTTGTCCAGAGAAAGTTTCCACTGGTTGGATGAGACAGGAACTGAACTGACTGGTAAAACTGATGATCGCAGCTCAAGACAAAGATGTTATTCCTCTCTAACTGTGAAGCATCAGAGCGACAAGAACAGAAGATTCACCTGCCAGTTAGTTGAAGGAAACAAAGTGAAGGTTGAAGCTCAATACATACCACCTGTGTTTAAAGGTACAAAGTATTTTATTTACAGAATAAATGAGATAAACAGCAGGAATTACTAGATTATTATGATTATTTATATTTTATATAAGTTATATGTGGTCATAATTTTTTTGTAGACAGCTTAAGTATATTTCAAAACAATGTTTCTATCTGAAATAAAACTTGCTTTACTTCCTCTGAGAAAAAAGTTTAGAACTTTTTATTTATCTGCTGCAGCTTAAGATCAGTGAAACATCCTTCATGAAACAAAACAATTTACAGATACTGAGTGTGATTTATCAGAATAACAATAATATGAATGTGATTCATATTCTGTTGTCACTCTATTGACTGATAACTGAATAATTAAGCTTGAATTATATAATAATAATGTGTTAATAGTTTTAAAAGTAAATCAGATCCACTGAACTGATCAGTGAACCGTCTGAATGTTTATGTGGAACAAAGTGACCAGAGCAGCGTTCTGTAGGGAACCTTTAAAAAGTGACACCAAAACAAAGCAGCGACTTTTAGAGGCTGATAGAGGTGAAAAGATGGAAAGAAGGAAGTGAAACAAACAGGAAGAGACAGATAAGTGTGTTAAACAGAGAAATGCTGGTCAGTTTCCAGGTTAGATAATAAACTGAGTTTTAACACAGAGACACTAAATCATCCAGTTCTTCAGGAGAAACTGAAGTTTAAATGCAAATAAAAAACTTTAAATCTAATGAGCTTCTATGGGATTCAGAAGTTACAACATTGTTAGATTTGTTACCTTTTGAATATATTTATATTTATTTTAGCTACTAACTAAACAATATTACATATCAAATTGCTTTTCCTCTTATTTGACTGGCAGAGAGAAAATAAACAAGTCGATTTCTGAAGTTTTCTATAAAACTGAATGTTTGATCTAAGAATGTTGATCAAAATGATTATTTCTGTAAATGTGTGAGCAGAAACTCAACCATCAGTGGGAAACAACAATAATATGTTCAGATCTGTAGAAAAACCTTAAAGGCTGATAACAGGAACAAGAAATGATCAAAGTGGGAATAAAAACCACTTAGAAAAATGTTTGACTTCAATGTTGACCAGTAATATATTATTTTATTAAAATATTGTTGTAAAATATGCTTTTAATCTTTTTAGAGATTATATATTTCCAGTCAATACAATCAGAACCACAGAGACTGAAACTGTATTATTAATAACTAACAAGAGTAAAATATTTCTCTGAATGTTTTTTCCAGTCCATCTCTACCACAGAGCTGGAGATGAAGCTGTTCTGCCCTGTAACAGACCTTCATCATCCGACTCATGTTCCTCTGTTGACTGGAATTATGAGACAAATGGATACATGGATAAACAGGAAGTTCATAGAGGAATCGTTCAGAGTTCACCTCGTTCTGCCAGGATGAGTTTGGACAGAAACTGTTCTCTGATCATCAACAACATCAATGCTGATGATGCTGGACGGTACAGCTGCAGTTATAACACAGATGTGTATCTAAATCTGCTGATCAGTGAGTATTTAAACTAATGACTCTCTACCTGCTGATTTCAGTTTTTCTTAACCCTAAAATCTCTGTTTGGATCTGAATGTTTAGATCATGATGTGTTTTTATCTGAGTTCAGTCAGAACTGGATCTGGATCTGTCTGGTTTTAGAGACTAAACTAACCTGATCAGTTCTCTCATGATGTTTTCATGTTGTAGTGGTAAACGGCCATGTCCAGTGGCTCCTGTTCAGAGTTAGTGCCAGTTGTTGGTCTGCAATGTTTCAACACAACAGCTGCTGTTCATAACCATAAAAATAAAACTTAATTTAGTTTGTTTTCTGTTGCTTGAAAAAGCCATTAAACATGAATTGTTATTGTCTGAATTTCTTTCAGTCTCTTCATCTCCACCAGATCCTGATCCAACAGTGAATAACTTCACATTAGCCTGTTCTCTGTGGAGATTCAGTTCTTCAGGTTCTTGTCTAGTTAAAAGTCTCTTCTGGTTGGATGAGACAGGAAGTGAACTGACTGGTGAAGGTGATGGATATAAATCAGGAGGACAGTTTGGTTGTGTTTCTCGTCTCACTGTGAATCTTCAGAGCAGCAGAAGATTCACCTGCCAGTTTGTTGAAGGAAACAAAGTGAAGATAGAAGCTCACTACCAACATGAAGGTATGATGTCTGATTTTTATGAAGAAGTTAAAATGTTGCAATGAAACTTTCCACACCTCAGTTTTTATCTCCAGTTTTCTTCTCCATCATGGTGGTTCAGGTTCTCCTGGTTCTGAATGTGGATCCAAAGTCTCAGACTCTCAGATTGATGTTCAGTCCACCATCATGTTGAAACTATTTCCTTCCTAAACCAGATGAAAATGATCCAATCAGGTTGCTGCTCCGTCTCCTCCTCAGGCCCCCCCGCCTCTTCTCCTCTGAGCTTCATCATGTTGACTCTGAAGATCACAGGACTGATCCTGATGGTTGGACTCACTGTTGGTATCATCAGAACCAGAGGTGAGGAAACTCAGCTACCATGGAGACAATTTACACACTTTAATCACTTTATTCTGTTTTTCACTGCAGGAAGAAAAAAGCCTCAGAAAGACATTAAAGTAAGAGAAACAATCATGATGAATACATTCATAGACCTTTTATATGTAGATTATAAATGACAAACATTTTCCCTCAGACTTGAAGTTTCCAGTTTGTAACATTATTGCTTTTTAGCTTTTTAGAAGATTTATTGATCTTAATGTTTAATACTGTACTTTTTAATATTAGTAATAAATAGATCAGCTGTTTTCTGTGTTATCCTTTATAATTATTTGATATTTATCTTTAAATATTAATTTTGTGTCTTTTATCCAGTCAATATGTTTTTTTCTCTCAGGTTCGTTTTGCTGCTGATGACGACACAGTGGATTATGAAAATGATGGAGAACGTTCTGCTGCCGCCGCACTGCACTGAGCTTCATCACATCCACTGCAGTTTATAGAAAACAATCTTTTATTTTATTTATATCCCAGTTCAAAATAATCTCTTGTGTTGCCTTAACTTCTCGGTAGCATTTTTAACTGTTCAATTCAGTTTTTTTAATACGTATGAAAACCATCATAAATATGATAAAAAGCTGTTTGTAAAGACTAAAAACAGTTTGAGATGAAAAACCTATAAAATATGAAAATATGTTACTTATTTCTGTTTAGTGTAAATAGAAGCTTTGATACACATTTTGTTTTATTGCCAAGAAATCATGTTATTAAAAGGAAGTGATGTGGAGCATCAGAGATTTACTGATCTCTCATTGGTCGATGTGCAGAAAGTGGGAGGAGAGAAGAGAGGAAACAGGAAGTAAAATATGGAGATTAGTTGATTAAAAATTTGATAACTTTTCTTTAACAAACTTTATTGATTACATGTATAATCCATTATAGCTCAATAAAAATATTTCCCATTTTAGATGCAATTTTATCAACAAGTAGACCATAAAGCATAAACTTGAATTTAAAAAGTAGATTCAATAATAGAGAAACATTTTCCATGTGCATGTATGAATAAATATGAGAAAGAGAAACTTTAGAAGAATGAAACATTTAATTAAGGAAATTATTAATATATATTTGGTTTAGTTTTCATTAATTTCAAACTGAAATTCAGGAATTAATCAGAAATTCATCTTATTTACTGAATATAAAAGCTTTAATCATTTTCACTGTCAAAGAGGGAAACTTGATTTCCTTGGACTGGACCCAGCTCCACTTATCATCCAAAGGTCTGAATGAACTTAAAGCTAAATAAATGTTCAACATCTTCCATCTCATTTTCACTAAATATGCTGCAGATCAAAACTCCTTTAAACTTCAACATGATTTATTATTTAGTTAATTAGAACTGATTCAGAACATTTAATTGTAAATCTTTCACCCATGGAAAGAAAGGATAAGATAAATATTCCTGCCTTATTTTAACAATGAGCTGTAATATAATTTCTTTGTTTCTGACTTGGAAAATCTTGTTTATTAAAATAATTCTGATAAATTTATTTGTGACATTTTTGCATCAGTAAATGTTTGTTTCAATCCAGGAGTAATTTATGATTTCATCAGATTTTCTTCCACTGATTTTCAGTTAAGTTTGTTAGCGTCTTCTTGATATTTTAAACTTTAAACTCAAAATTCTTCCTACAGATTTTAACTCTCCATCATTATTTGTTGCATTAGCATCCATTAGCAGTCAAACCCTGAGTGTAGTGAGGCTGACCTAGCCTAGCTAACAGGAAGTGACCTAACTCATGTTTCCATGATTGAAGCTGGTGAAGTTGAGCGTAATGCAGAGAGACGAGTCAATTCTCAGAGTTTCATCTGGGAAGGTGAAGTTCTTTGGAGGAAGTTTTACATTCTCCTCTTCAGCATCACATCAGGCCTGTGTAACATGGTTCAGGTTAAATCCTGCTAAAATGCACCATCTGCTGGTAAAAAGTTGTATTGCATTCACCTTATAAAGAGCGGGGTATTATGGGTAATCCTCAAAGGCGTGAGGATCACTGCCGAGGTAACTTGTCTCTGCTATGTGATAAAGAAATATTATTTATTCATCTTATAGAATGTTTATGGTTTTCGTTTTTGCATATTATTTAAATATGTTTAATCCAGGTCCCGGTAGTTCTGCTATTATATCGTTTTTGTCATGTTTTAGGATGTTTAGTGCGTGAGAAAGTTTGGTGATAATTTCCCACGCTGGAACATTTTGGCTCCTCCTTTCAGGAGCTTGTTTGATCCCAGACCTCACCTCGATGGCCATTGTGTGAAATGCAGGGATGTTTTACCAAATCTCTTGTAGCAGATGGTTAACATGAGGCTGAGTTTTATATAAACAGTTTTATATAAAGATACGGTTCATTTATGTTTTTGCATTGTTCTAAAATGCAAGGTTATATAAACTAAAACATAAAAATGGCATCCAGTAAATAAAATGTCAGCATTTTATTTAATTTTTCAGAGCATTTTAATTAATTGCTTTATTTTCTCTGAAAAGTCACTCACTGGTTCTTTCTTTATTGTAAACAAAATCCACTGTGATCACTGTCATTTTCAATAATTTTATTGTGGTTACTGTATTATGGGTAATCCTCA